TATATGACATTCCTTATTATAACATGATCAAGAAGTATTTGAGATTTTTGGGCCTGGATCCACACCAAAAAAATGGATTGATTATTGTAATTATAATGGTGACTAGTATGACAAGTGTACTTATTCCAATGGTAAGGTAAACATATCGTACGAACATGTTATAGAAATAGTACTATAGTTAAAATGTGATAATTGATTGAATTCTGCGTAATAAATTAAATAGTCAGATACTGTCATTAAACAACTGCAACTTATAATTCATTAGTCAATCGTATTGTATGGATCATTATACACCAAGAATCTGGACATGGTGCTCGAGTGTTTGCCACATTTAGGTGCACTTTTGACCAGTTTCGTTAAAGTATTGAATGTTCATCTAAACAGAGAAAACGTACGCAAATTTATTACTATTGAACAATCTTTTCGGAAGAAAGCATGTTATAAAGTTATGACAACACGTGTTATGTTCTAGTTTAGAAAATTGTTCGATTCTATAACGAAAGAATGGCAGCAGCTGAAATTAAGTCAAGATTTGTACATTCTGGAAGAAGTCACCATACGGGGCAGCAAAATGGCGAAATTGTATCGAAGTAAGTTATCGTGCCTTAATTTTGCAATCGGCATAATTCTAGTACACGTAAAAACGAATTCATACCACTAAATATTTCGCACATAAATGATCAATTCTAATCTTTTCAGATACTTTATTAATATGTATGGCACTTTTTTTACTCATTCCACTGATTCCTCCAATGTTGGATATCGTTCTTCCACTAAACGAAACTCGACCACGACAACAAATACTTAATGTTAATTACGTGATTTTTGACAGCAATAACTATTTTTTCTACGTGTACTTACAGTTATCTTGGACGTCAGTAGTAGTTTCAATAATCATAGTTACCGTAGATTCTTTATTGATGCTTATAGTTCACCACAATAGTGGAGTATTTAAGATTTTTGGGCTTAGATCCACACCAAAAATATGGATTGATCATTGTAATTATAATGGTGATTAGTATGACAAGCGGACTTATTCCAATGGTAAGGTAGACATATTGGGGATGCAAGTTATAGAAATAGTACTATAGTTAAAATGTGTAAAGTAATTGAATTCTGCGTAATAAATTAAACAGTCAAATAATGTCATTAAACAACTGGAACTTATAATTCATTAGTCAATCGTATTGTATGGATCATTATACACCAAGAATCTGGACATGGTGCTCGAGTGTTTGCCACATTTAGGTGCACTTTTGACCAGTGTCGTTAAAATATTGAATGTTCATCTAAACAGAGAAAACGTACGCAAATTTATTACTATTGAACAATCTTTTCGGAAGAAAGCATGTTATAAAGTTATGACAACACGTGTTATGTTCTAGTTTAGAAAATTGTTCGATTCTATAACGAAAGAATGGCAGCAGCTGAAATTAAGTCAAGATTTGTACATTCTGGAAGAAGTCACCATACGGGGCAGCAAAATGGCGAAATTGTATCGAAGTAAGTTATCGTGCCTTAATTTTGCAATCGGCATAATTCTAGTACACGTAAAAACGAATTCATACCACTAAATATTTCGCACATAAATGATCAATTCTAATCTTTTCAGATACTTTATTAATATGTATGGCACTTTTTTTACTCATTCCACTGATTCCTCCAATGTTGGATATCGTTCTTCCACTAAACGAAACTCGACCACGACAACAACTTGTTAATGTTAATTACGTGCTTTTTGACAGCGATAACTATTTTTTTTATGTGTACTTACAGTTATCTTGGGCGTCAGTAGTAGTTTCGATAAGCATAGTTACCGTAGATTCTTTATTGATGCTTATAGTTCACCACAATAGTGGACTATTTGTAGTATGTGGGTAAATATGATTTACTCAATACAATTATATTATATATAATTATGTATATATATTACCGCTTAAAAATATTTGCACATATTTTAATTCGTTGCAATATAATTATAAAATTGCAGACGTTCAAGTTTTTCAGATGTTTATTACAGTGGGTCACGAAAGTACTTCGACATCCAAATACTAATCTTTTACTTCTTTTTGTAGTAAATGTTTTATAGCTTTTATATTCGTTTATATACGTTTATATAGAATTTTGGATTAGTTTAAAACTTTACTAATACAATAATGACAGATGTGTCGCATTAGTGTTAGTAAAATTTCAAAACGTTTTATGAAACATATGTAATGGATGTATACATGAAACAACATATATACTTTTGTCAGCCACTGTATGTACCAATAGACATTATGATAATTTCTTTTAATTCTCGATATATATACAGGCACCAAATCCAGAAAAATACAAGGAACTTAAATTCGTTCACTAATGAAGTTATGTCGGAACGTTACACATACAAACAGATCAGAAATTGCGTGATCATGCACAATAAAGCCATAGAGTTGGTATTTAACAAATAACGATAAAATACAATAAATTATCAAATTGTTATTGAACGACATTAATCATTTTTGCTCATTGCATTTTTAGGTTTTACGATATATTAGATGAAAACAATCGAATTAGCTATATGATTCAAACTGGACTAAATATGATTGGTATAACCACGACAGCTGTTCAAGTAAAAATATTCTTATGTATTCTTAGTGAAAATCTAGCTAAGCTTGAAAAATCGTTAACCTAATCAATTGTTTTATATCTGCAGACAGTCATTAACTTAGATAGACCGGGAGAATCAATTAAAAGCGCCGTGCTATGCGGTGCTAATCAGTTTCATTTGTTTATGCTTAGTTTACCTGGACAAATACTTGTAGATCATTGCACCGAACTAACGAAACAATTGTACGTGTTTAGTGCTTTCGAAACATAACTGCAGTAGAACCACGATTATCAGATCACAGATTAATGAAAATTTGTGGGCGGTTCTGTATATGAAAGATTGAAAAATAAGAATGGGAACTGATGGAAATTGTTACTTTTTTATCCAAACATTTTTATTCCTTTCCGATATTGGTATTTACAAATAATTAGAACTAAATGATGTTTTCCTATGTCCAAACAAAGCTATTTGATTAACCGAACAGCGCTTACCATGGTTAGATCGGATAATCAAGATTCTACTATAATCTTCTAAACCACAGAATGTAATGTTTTACTGACATCGAAACAGATACGATTCTACATGGTATGGAGCACCAATAGGAGTTCAAAAAATGCTTTACATGATGCAAATAAGAACTAGAAGGCCATGTACATTAACTGCGTGTGGATTATACCAAATGAACATTGAGAACTTTGGAACTGTATGTAACACAGAATAAGTCGATTGTAATTGTTGCACTATATCAACCATTATTTACAATCGTTTTCATTGTAAGACCTTCAAAACCTGCATGTCGTATATTACGATGATAATGTCATTGAAAGGATGAAGTTCACTATTACCTCCATATCCGTTGCATTTTATACTTGGACTGAGTAAGCATGAAGATGGTATAATAACCGATATAATAGTTTATCATTATATCGAACGTATAAATAAAATTAATAAATCACGATAATTAGTTGATATTCTTTTATTCGCAATTAATACTGTGTACCTTCCCAAAAATTACTGTACTGGACCTTTTTAAGTATCGCCAGAAAGAGCAATGTGTGTATGTATACACGTTTACTACCGTCATCCAGGTAAACAGATATGATACAAGTACTCAGTTAATCAATCGAGTAATAATTGTTTTTTTTATTTTTTGCATCACATACATAACATTGTTGCACAGTTATATCGGAAAACACTGCAAACGAAAACATAATAGCTCTGGTAGAAATTCGGACGACTTCACTGAGCAGTTACATGTTTATCAGCGAAGGCGTTAGCAGTGCAATGTGTAATCAATGTTTCAGAACAATTACAGCTCTTGATCTTTCAAGACAGGTGGCACGACAATGGCTTACGTGTCATTTTTTACCTACTATACGGATTTACCGTAATTTGAACCTGCTTTAAAAATAATACATACCTCTCCAATAAACAAAATGATTCGCAGCCATATTTAATGACTTCAATTTCATACTTCATGTAATGCCGAGTATTAGTACAACTGTGTTTAGCAGATATTGTCCACCAGTTCTGGAAATGGATAGATACATTTATATATTTCACGAACATTAAATAGTTACAGAGTTACGCTTGCATGTGGTTTCATTGACTACCATGACGCTATTCTAAAAATCTGGTCTCATGCACAGTAAGGTTCAAAGGTACAACGAGATAATATTTACATCACGATTGAAATATTTAAAATGGCTCGCAAAAGTATTACATTTAATATTTCAGGGAAACGTAAACCAGTATTGTGATATGTTCGAAATCTAGTACCATAAAGTACTCAAGAATTACTTACAATTAGTAAGACAACACCGTCGTCAAAAGCAAGAATTCTGGAAATACTAGCGCAATTGTAGTGATGATTAGCATCACAATCATATTTATGCCATCTGTAAGGAGAAGAATATTTTTTAAAAAATTATTATGGATAAAAAGAAGAAACTGAAGAGTGAATTACACGTAATAAATTAAATAATCAGGTAAGATTGATGAACAGTCGGAATTCGAATCGTTAGTTATTAGAAATATACACAGGAATCTGTATAAACAATTCTGCATGGTACGACATATCGGTAAAAATTCAAAAATTGTTTTACGTGACGCAAATAAGGTGGAAGGAGCCATGTGTCTCAACAGCAGATGGATTCTACGAAATGAATATCGGTATATTATGTACTTGTACAAGACTGACATAGTTATTTATATGTACTTGTGTGTGTATACTGTAATTGTATATTATCTACTCTCCGATTATTTTAAATTTTAAGACCTTCAAAACGTACATGTCGTCTTTCACAATGATAACGTCGGCAAAATGATGCTTCCACGTCAGCTGTGGGAAATATGGTATCATAGTCATTGTGTTCTGACATTGAATTTGGACTAAGCAAGAATGCAGATAATAGAAAAATAATCGACATATATTATTAATTTTATATTATTTAAATCACCCTATTGAATATGCAAATAAAATTATTGTGTAATTATTGTGTAGATTTCTTCCTCTACATATATATTATTCTTCTATTACATGTACACAGCAGGTTTCATCTTATAGTTCATCTTATAGTAGTATAACTTCCCGTTTTTGTTTTGTTTTAAAACCACACAGTAAACCAACGTGAGTTTCACTTCAATAAGAACATGAAGACACTTCCTACTGCGACTGGAACGTAAAATGTACATCAAATAAAAGAACGATAACTATCAGCAATGGTTACTAGGAGAGAGTGTTCTAGTCGTCGTAACGCGCGATGTACAAAATTCATATCGATCGACATTATCAAAACTGTCAGAAATGTACTGTAACCGTAATTGTAAGTATTATACACAGAATACAATTTTGCTCTCTCATATTTCTACCCTATCTCATATTCGTAATCTCTCCTCTGTCTATATCTCAACAGTTATCTTCGAGGTATCTATGTTCTTCAACAATAGGGGATCAATCCTTTGTCTTCCAACGAATATCCAACAAGCGACAGTTTTAGAAAGAGATGATTTATATTTTATGATGTGCATCCTAACTGAAATTGGTAATCCCTTAACAGAACGATTACGTCATTTTCTTATAGGTATGTACATATGTAACTACCGTATAAACTGCTAATACAATAACACCAGCAATCAAACAGTTTTGCCGCGATACAATAAATGAAATAATATGAAAATACTGTCATTAAGTTTCTCTACACTTTACCGAATCAATTTACTACCATTTGATACTTTGGATCTATAAAGAATCACTTCATGCATTCGGCACGGCATGTCAGTTTTATTGAGTTTGTGGTTCCGTGCGTTGCGTTTCTTTACAAGTCGTTGTTTCGAAATTTGGAAACATGGACGGTAAGAGGAAGGGATACAATATACTTATATTATACCGTGATCAAAATATCTAACGTTTCGTTTACTAATAATATTAAGGGTATCTGAATTATATTTTTGTACATATTCTATATCGCTAATTTTATTCAAATATAATTCATTCAAATAATTTTATTCAATTTTCGAAATATGTAGTATTTCAGAAAACCGGGGAACAGTATCCCGATATATATGACATTCCTTATTATAACATGATCAAGAAGTATTTGAGATTTGTGGGCCTAGATCCACACCAAAAAAATGGATTGATCACTGTAATTATAATGATGACTAGTATAACAACCGTACTTATTCCAATGGTAAGGTAATCGTACCGTAGGTGCAAATTATAGAAATAGTTAATATGAGGCAATTCATTGAATTCTGCGTAATAAATTAAATAGTCAGGTAATGTCATTAAACATCTGGAACTTATAATTCATTAGTCAATCGCATTGTACGAATCATTATACACCAAGAATCTGGATGTGATGCTGGAGTGTTTGCCACATTTAGCTGCAATTGTGACCAGTTTCGTTAAAATAATGAATGTCTATCTCAACAGAGAAAATGTACGCGTATTTATTATTATTGAATAATCTTTCCGGAAGAAAGCACCTTATAAAATTATGACAACACGTGTTATGTTCTAGTTTAGAAAATTGTTCGATTCTATAACGAAAGAATGGCAGCAGCTGAAATTAAGTCAAGATTTGTACATTTTGGAAGAAGTCACCATACGAGGCAGCAAAATGGCGAAATTGTACCGAAGTAAGTTAGCATGTCTTGATTTTTTAATCGGCTTACTTCTAGTACACGTAAAAACGGGGATTCGTACCACTTAATATTTCGCACTTGAATGATCAATTCTAATCTTTTCAGATACATTAATGGTATTTATGGTACTCTTTTTACTCGTTCCACTGATTTCTCCTATGATGGATATCCTTCTTCCACTAAACGAAACTCGACCACGACAACAACTACTTAATGTTAATTACGTGCTTTTTGATAGCCATAACTATTTTTTCTGCGTGTACTTACAGTTATCTTGGGCGGCAATAGTAGTTTCAATAAGCATAGTTACCGTAGATTCTTTATTGATGCTTATAGTTCACCACAATAGTGGACTATTTATAGTATGTGGGTGAATATGATTTACTCAATACAATTATATTACATATAATTATGTATATTCACTACCGCTTGAACATATTTGCACATTTTTAATACGTTGCAACATAATTATAAAATTAGAGATGTTCAAGTTTTTCAGATGTTTATTACAGTGGGTCACGAAAGTACTTGAGCATCTAAATAGTAATCTTTTATTTCTTTGATAGTAAATGTCTTACAGCTTTTATATCCATTTATATACGTTTATATACATTTATATACAATTTTACATTGGTTTGAAACTTTACTAATACAATAATGACAGATGTGTCGCATTAGTGTTAATAAAATTTCAAAACGTTTTATAAAACATATGTAATAGATGTATACATGAAACAACATATATACTTTTGTCAGCCACTGTATGTACCAATAGATATTATGATAATTTCTTTTAATTCTTGTTATATATCCAGGCATCAAATCCAGAAAAAAACAAGGCACTTAAATTCATTCACTAATGAAGCAATGACGGAACATTACACATATAAAGAGATCAGAAATTGCGTGATCATGCACACTAAAGCCATAGAGTGTGTATTTAACAAATGACGATATAGTATAATAAATTTTCAAATTGTTATTGAACGACGTTAATCATTTTTGTTCGTTGCATTTTTAGCTTTTATGATATATTAGATGAAAACAATCGACTTAGCTATATGATTCAAATTGGACTAACTATGATTGGTATAACCACAACTGCCGTTCAAGTAAAGATACTCATACAGTGAAAATCTATTAAAACTTGAAAAATCATTAACCTAATCAATTGTTTTATATTTACAGACAGTCATTAACTTAGATAGACCGGGAATATCAATTAAAAGCGCTGTATTGTGCGGAGCTAATCAGTTTCATTTATTTATGCTCAGTTTACCTGGACAGATACTTGTAGATCATTGCACCGAACTAACGAAACAATTGTACGTGTTTAGTGCTTTCGAAACATAACTGCGGCAGAACCTCGATTATCAGATCACAGATTAATGAAAATTTGTGGGTGGTTCTGTATTTGAAAGATTGGAAGGTAAGAATAGGAACTGATGAAAATTGTTACATTTTTATCCAAGAACTTTTGTTCGTTTCTGATATTAATATTTACAAAGTAATTCAAAGTAAATGATGCTTTCCTATGTTCAAACAAAGCTATTCGATTAACCGAATAACGCATACCATGGTTAGATCGGATAATCAAGATTCTGCTGTAATCTTATTAATCATAGAATGTAATATTTTACTGACATCGAAACAGATACGGTTCTACATGGTATGGAGTACCAGTAAAAACTCAAAAAATGCTTTACATGATGCAAATAAGAACTAGAAGCCCATGTACATTAACTGCGTGTGGATTGTACCAAATGAACATTGAGAACTTTGGAACTGTATGTAACACAGCATAAGTCGATTGTAATTGTTGTACTATATCAACCATTATTTATAATCGTTTTCATTGTAAGACCTTCAAAACCTGCATATCGTACATTACGATGATGTTGTCATTGAAAGGATGAAGTTCACTGTTACCTCTATATCCGTTGCATTTTATACTTGGACTGAGTAAGCATGAAGATGATATAATAACCGATATAATAGTTTGTCATTATATCGAACGTACAAATAAAATTAATAAATCACGATGATTAGTTGATATACTTTAATTCGCAAGTAATACTGTGTACCTTCCTAAAAATTACTATACTGGACCTTTTTAAATATCGCCCGAAAGTACAATGCATGTGTGTATACACATTTACTAACATCATCAAGGTAAACAAATAATACGGGTCCTAATTGAACTAGCACTAATAAAACTAGCACTATTATATGTAGTTAGAGAAGTGCACAAAAATTTCTAATTATTCATTTCATATTGTTAAAGCGATAATTTAAAGAACATTACGAAGTACATACTACACTATGGGCATAAACTAATTAAGATTTGTGCTACTGTATCTTTTTCCTTGTTATGCTGTCATATTCAGTATTGCACAAGATTCTTTTAAATATCGTTTTTACAATATAATGTGAAGAACCTGGCTGAAAACTTGCTAACCACAATAGTTACGTATATTATATTAGCTACTATTTACGAATATTTTAATCTTCAGACTGTCAAAGTGTACATGTGCTATATAACAACGTTAATATCAGTGAAATATTGAATCCGCACTACCTGGTGAATGTAATCATATCTACACGTGTATGTTCTACACAGTTTTATCTGACATAAAAATAAATAGCCGATATGTCATATTGAATAAATTAAACGATTTCAATGAATCTGCAAATAATGATATACAACCACACATTTCAAATACAGTGTTAATACTTTAGTACATAAATCGAAACTAAATAATATACATTCACTATTATTTGACTGAATCTTCCTTACATTTCCTTCGAAAATAACTTGACAATCTTAAGAAGTTAAAATAAATGCCACTTCTATTGTTACAATATTCATGTGTTGCAAACAGTGATAGTCTTCACTGAGACTTTTCAATTGAAAGTCAGAGGAAGTGCTACAACTAGGATACGCTGTGCATAAAAAGAAATGTTTTCAAGCAGTCAGCGCTATGAATGCTCTGCTAGCACTCACGATCAATTATTTAGTTGGTATACCATAATTAATAATAATAACAGCTGTACCATGTCCCGCAGAGCGATGTAACATGTCTCACAGGAACGTCGGAAAACCATTATTATGATGTCAAAGATGATATCACAACTTTAAAAATGATATCGTAGTGAGGTACTTGGCAACAAATCGATTTACTATAATATTTAATGACGAAAATTATGCATTTCCAGCAACATTGAATGTCCAGTATAACTACATATGAAGCATATTGATTTCTACGAGAAGGGAATCTAATACCCCATACGACACTTCTTATACACACGATTTCTTTTAAAGCGATTGCACAAGTTAAGAAGGCCGACGTTTGAAACCTGAAGCAACAGCCAGTAAGGGAAAGAGATTTACACTAAAACTAAAATATTTAGTTCTCTTTAAACTAATAATTGGGCTGCTGATATTTATGTAAATCCCACTTTGTGTGAATAGATTTGAAAAATCGAACCCAAGAAAAAGATGTTTTTACCTGTTACATATTACAGGCAATATTGTATTTTGAATATTTTATATATTTTTGCATATGATATGATCGTTGATGATCGTCTTATTTCGGCTTCAAGAATCACCTCCTAAATTTCCCGACACCTGTAGCCGAACATCCTGTATATTTTTAAATATTATATGCATTCATTACATTTCTTTTCCTTGCAACTTTACATAAATGTATAGAAACACGTAGTGACTAGTGGTATTAATCCTATATTGATGTTATTTCTATGCTATTTGATATAACACGATAGCGTAATTAATGTGGGTTTTGAGTATTCAGTGCTTCAGATAACCGGAGGCCCCGAAATATTTCAAGTGCCTTACTACAGCAAACTCGAGCGATATATCCAACTTTTGGGACAAGATCCGCGCCATAAAAGTAGCACTAGAAATATTATTGTAGTAATAGTAGTGACTAGTATCGTAAGCATTACTATCCCAGCGGTAAGAAAAACAAGATAATCATTATATAGAAAAGTAATAAAGCTAACGATAAGGTAATGTCATTAAACAATTGGGACTTGCTATCAATAGACCGCAGAGTTATTTGCGTCGTTGCATAACAAGGACATGGATGGAGTCATCGAGTGTCTGCCACACTTTGTCACATCTTCCACCAGTGCTGTTAAAATATTAAATATGCATTTCAACAGGCGAAGTGTGCGCTAATTTCTTTTTATATAAAGAAATTGTCAACTACACACGTTGTTAAATGGACAAATACTTATTTTTTTCAAGTTTAACAAACTGTTCCAACTTGTGGCAAAACAATGGGAACAACTGAAATTAAATGGCGAATTGCACGTTCTGGAGGAAGTCGTCAAGCAAGGCAACAGAATGGCGCACTTTTATCGTAGTAAGTGAAGTTATCTCAATTCTCATCATAATTTTCAATATTTTTAATTTTTAACCAAACCAGTCCTTCCTAACATACATAAAATTATTTATACGTGAACAATCAATTGTGTTGATTTTCAGACACTTTAGTAACTTTTATGGTATTGTTCTTGCTGGTGCCACTAATTTCTCCCATTCTTGATATTGTCCATCCAATAAACGGAACTCGAACACGCCAACAACTGCTAAGAGTTAATTACATATTTTTTAACGATGCCGACTATTTCTTTTACATATATTTACAATTATTTTGGAGCTCTGTCGTTGTAGTGTTCACCATAATAGGTGCTGATTGGTTATACATGCTAATAATTCATCACAGTAGTGGATTATTTGCGGTTTGTGGGTAAATACCCTGATATTATGCAAGATTTGGTTGTTAGTCGCCATTTTCGTATGCACGTGAAAATATTGCAATCACTAAATTTATAACTCGTACACATGTTCATTTTTGTTGTCATAACCGTAGACATCGAGTCCAAAAAGCAACTGTGAATCCAAACTACTTTACTGGTGATGCTATTTCCGAGAATTACACGTATGAAAAGATCAGGAATTGCGCTATAATGCACAATGAAGCCATACGGTCTGTATTTATTACAATAATCAAAAAATTACGAAATGTCACTAATATACATTTTCATTAATTTTAAAGATTTTCAGATATATTGAAAGAAAGCAGTCGGGGTAGTTACTTAATTCAGGTTGGATTGAATATGTTGAGCATAAGCGCGACAGCTGTTCAAGTAAAAACAATCTTCAAAATGATAACAAACATTAAAAATAGTTTCAGACAAATAATTGTTTATATTATTCTTCAGACAGTGATAAACTTAGACAGACCGGAAGAAGCAATACGAAGTGCGGTATTTTGTGGGGCTTGTCTATTTCATTTGCTTTTACTTAGTTTACCTGGCCAGGTGCTATTGGATCATTGTTCTGATTTAGCAGATAATATGTATGTGTT